GGGTGCAGGCAGTCATTTAACGAGGGTTTGGTGTTATCTTCCCTTGCGGACGCATCGTAGACAATGCGAAGTTTTGTGCTTTCTGCTTCTTTCTTTACCACCGCCTTGTGGGGGATGTAGTACTCATTTCCAGTTGGTATCTCAGGTGCAGCTTCGAGTATTCCCTTCTGTAATTGCTCTTCAATAATTGCATTGTATTCTTCATATAGTTAATTCTTCTTCAGTTCCGGATTAAGTTTTCCAGCCGTTTCTTGCTACCCATTTCATTTGTTGGCAAGGTTGGATGGTTGCCCTTCCAGGGCAAGCTAGTTTGATACCACCCAGCATCAGCTCTCTCTAACTGCTCTTTAAACTCTGTATAGACAGTTTGTTGGTCATTCTCATGAGTGTCTGCAAGTCCGAGTACGTCCAGGGCACAGAGTTGCTCGTAGTCGTTGGAGGTTGATTGAGTAAATAGCACTGGACCATCTTTGTCTTCTCTCCCAGACGACATAACAGTCCATCCCAGTAGGGTCCTTTCTGCTACAGGTTGTCCTGGCTGTCCGACTTTCTGAGCTGTCCGTGTTTTGACAGCCGCATATTCACTCGCACCGAGGACTACGTGGATTGGAATCTGATCTCGGTTTGCTGGATCTTCGTTGACTTTCACTCCCTCAAGGTGGGTGTATGTTTCGCAAAGTTCCTTGAAATTCGGGTTGTTTATCATCAAAAGTTGTGGTTTGTGGACTTTAGATAACTCGATCTCCATGTTAAATTTACCATCAACCGACTGAAGATTAGCTGAATATATCTCTACTTTGGTTGTTGTAGAACTTAGCATCATGTCCACCCTTCTTGTCTTTACTTGCTTTGGTTTCTTGTGAAGTATTTCAATCAACTTTGCTGACGCATATGAACTACTAGTTGTATCTAAAAGGGCATGTGTCTTGATCCCATCAATTTCAATCAACACAGTGGGGTAGATTACTTGCTGGTCTTCCTCCATATGTGCAGTTAACACTGGCTTTGGTGGACTGGCTCATCGCAAATTGAAGTATGATGTCGTTTGCCACAGTTCTTACATGTCCCTGTGCTCCTGCATTCTGACGCTCTGTGTGCCGCACCAGTGCAATTAAAGCATAACTTTTTCTTTGCCAAAATAGCCTTGCGTTGGTCTGCCATTCTAACCGAGTCACACTCTGATGATCGATGGTTATGCCCATCGCGCAGTATACACAAGGGCGTTTCTTACTCGACTGTTCGGTTTTACCTTGTTGTGTCTGGTAGTAATGTCTCGTCATCGTGTCTCGTCGATCTCGCTTCTTTGATGGATCATCTGGTTTCGCATCTTCAATTACTGGGTTTCTTCTGGTCCAGAGTTGTAAGGCATCAGTAAACTGCATAAAGTCCCACTTTTCCCATGTGGAATCATTTCGTACAAGATCACGTCTTATTGCAGGCAGCTTATCTAATATCATGGAGACTGTTCCATTAATAGCATCAAGTTGTTTGAGTGTTTCTAGCGATTGCAAACAGTAAGCCAATTTTTCATAGAACTCGTTTATTTTCTTAGTGTTGGCTGTAGCAATATGTGGTAGATCCAATATTTCTTTGACAAAGGTCTTCACGACTTCGCTTTCCTTTCCTTTCCTTTCCTTTCCGAACCGATCTTTCACGATGGAAATTGCTCGGTTGTATCCTTCAGCAGTATGGGGTAGGGCTTCAATTGACCTTTTTGCTTTATCACATAACAGTTCTTGTAAATAGGCGAATTTGTTTATAGGAGAAATGCCCGATTTGTCAATAGTTTCTGAAAACAGGTTCCAAAATCTTGGCCAATCTGCACAAGTACCGTTAAATTTAGTTATATGACGTTTTGGCAATTTCGCTTCAATGTTTTGCTTACTTCCGCTTGTATGCACCCTTACTTCCGGTGTAATTTCAGATTGTAATTTCACCTTAGCTTCGTGTAATTTTAGCTCAAATTGTAGTTGTTTTTCCCGTTCTATTTCCTCTCTTTCTGCTTTCTCCTCGAGTTGTATTTTCTCTTTTCTCGCATCTTGTTCGTCTAACCATTGCCGTCGGCTTTTTCCATCGTATTCTCTACGGTTTTATTCCACTCTTCGATCTCCTCGGCACCTGTTCCTTTGGAAATTTTCTCTGCTTCGACTGTTAATCGCAACTTATTTACCGCAGCTATTGTTTCTTTCAAGCTCTCCCCGTGTCTGGCAATCGCTCGTTTCTTGTTTCCATTAAGAATTGCATCACTTTTCTCGGTTGCCATTTGCAACTGTGTTATTTTGGTTTTTAAATCTGCCTCGGCCATCGCTAAATATCGCTTGTTTACGTTGATTTACGCTCTAAAAATTACTTGCGAGATCTCACTGTCCCATCCAGGGGTGCCACATGTTGGAAATTCTTGTTTGAAGAAAGTTTTCACAACAAATCACTAGTTTTAAAGGTTTAATCACTCGAAATACAAAGTTAGTTCTCTCTCAGAATCACAGTTTCAATATAATCCATTGCATGCAACCCCCGCTGCGTTACGTCATAGCATGCATAATTTAACATAATTAATATGAATAGAGTATCTTATCTTTCGGACACCATGGCATTAAGAATATTGTCAATAATTTCAATTAATGCCAACGTTGTTGAATGATTTTTCCGAAATCCAAATTGGTATTTGTATATAATGTCCTTTTTATTCAAATATGATAATAGTCGTTTGCACATTAATTTTTCTAACATTTTTGAGAATGGTGAGAGTAAAGAAATAGGTCTGTAATTTGATAACAAGTGAATCGATTCACGAGAGCTTGAGTTCTTCAGGAAATATACCAGAAGTAAATGAAAATTATATAATTCACTTAGTTCTGATGCAATAACTGGTTTTGCAAGTTTCAGTAAACTAATAGGAATTCCATGAGGGCCCAAAGCCTTTGAGGCATCGGAAAGTATGGGAAAGTATGACTAGGTCAAATCTACATACCCTAGCGAAATGCCTCGTCGTCTAATATACTGTCGCTATCTACTATCTAACGAAACCACAGCCAAGGGAATCGGCTTGGCAGCAACAGCGGGGAAAGGAGTTTATTAACTCTGTGAGAAAAAGGCATCCACCGTAGAAATACCGCAGCTCGTATCGTATTTTACTTACTCTGAGAATTAAGCAGGGGTGGAAAAATAGACGAGAACGCGAGCACTGCCCACAGGAAATGTTAAATTTGAACGTTAAATGCGCGCAGGAAATGTTAAATTTGAACGAAACGTTAACACCCATCACCAGGCATGTGCCACTGTGGGCGCAACATATTGTTGACAGACATTAATTATTCCTTGAATTTAAAACAATATATGTTTATGCAGATTCATCACAAAAATACTCCGTTGGTCTGCAGGAAATTTTTATCTCCAGGTTGTGCCCCCAGGCAGTAAATTGTTTTTCCTCCCCTGCGGAGAAGTAGAGCTGGACCTCGACGTCCAACTTTTACCATTAAGATCGCACTTCGATCCGAAGACACTGTCATGTTGGAGTTTTGGTTGGAGCGGCACGTCTATTTGATAACGCTGGCTTTATGAGATTTAAGTCAGCGGTGTAAAAAAAGTCAAGAACTGGGTCAATAACAGGGCCTTTTTTAACATACAAGCTGGGGGGAAATGCCCCCAGTCCCCGATTGTGCCC